GTTTTCATCTTGTTTTTATCCAAGGGATGATTCAAGTAAACTCAGCAGAAGTGTGTGTGGCTATAAAATGGTCCTGTTTACTTTTGCCACTTTGGATGATGGATGAAGCTATTTGTTCTTTGTTTGCATAAAATACATGTGCATAAGATGGATGAAGCTGTCACGGTTTGACTGTGTGGCCTGCTAGTTTGCCTGAACAAAAATGTACAAGCAAAATATCACTTTTGGACATTCTTTTGGAGGAGAGCCATATTTGACTTGGTCCATCTTTGTCTTCATTAAATCGAGTGCTAGGGTATATACACTACCATAAATCTTTTAAAAAGATGCATCGCAAACATCTTCAATAGAATTCAAATTAAATGCATATTATATGTATTAAAATGTCATTTATTCCTGGTATAACAAAGTTTTCTATTTATGTTCAAGGTAAATGTGATACAATGCAATCTGAAATTTGGGGGTAAGATTTTAATTTATTGTTGAATGCACACTTACCAACCACTTTATATTAAGCACCTGAGGTTTATTCCAGAAATCAAGTTTAACTTACCTTTACATTTATTCAGAACTCTGTGTTGATTAATCCAAAACTGCTTACTCAAGGTATGTCTGTTCCAAAATCAGTCCTTGGGAGTAAGTTCTGTCAAGTCTCATTCTTAACTCTGAACAAAAAAGTGCATTCTCAACAGATTACCAAAGCCTGAGTTGCCATGGAAAAACAGATTCCAAAAAGCAGCATGCCACCTTCTGTTTAATGGTGAGTTGCATTTTTATTGCTTCTTTCACTATTGGTAGTTGTGCAAAATATTAAAATGTAAGCAGTAAGAAGTGTCAAAAATTTACTTAACAGTACATGTATACATTCACTGGCCACTTTTGCCTTCAGAACTGCCTTAATCCTTCATGGCATAGATTCTAGAAGATACTGAAAATATACCTTACAGTATTTGGTCCATATTGACATGATACCATCAAACAGTTGCTGCAGATTTATCAGCTTCACATCCATGATGCAAATCTCTCATTTCACCACATCCCAAAGGTGCTCTGATGGATTGGAACCTAGTGACTATGGAGGCCACAGTACAGTACAGTGGACTCATTGTCATGTTAAAGAAACCAGTCTGAGATGATTCACGCTTAATGACATGGTGCGTAATCCTGCTGGAAGTATCCATCAAAAGATGGGTACACTGTGGTCATAAAGGGATGGAGATGGTCAGAAACTAATACTCAGGTAGGCTGTGGCGTTGACACGAAGCTCAATTGGTACTAATGGGCCTGAAGTGTGCCAAGAAAACATCCCCCACACTGTTAAACCACCACCACCAGCCAGAACCGTTGATATAAGGCAGGATGGATCCATGCTTTCATGTTGTTGACACTAAATTCTGACCCTACCATCCGAATGTCGGAACAAAAATCGAGACCTATCAGACCAGGCAACATTTTTCCAATCTTCTATTGTCTAATTTTGGTTGGCCTGTGTTTAATGTAGCCTCAGTTTCCTGTTGTTAGTTGACAGGAGTGACACCCGGTGTGATCCTCTGCTGCTGGAGCTCATCTCAGAGATGCTCTTCTGCATACCTTGGTTGTAGCAAGTTTTGAGTTACTGTTGCCTTTCTATCAGCTTGAAACAGTATGGCCATTCTCCTCTGACCTCTGGCATCAACAAGGCATTTGTGCCCACAGAACTGCCTCTCACTAGTATTTTCTCTTTTTTGCGAGAGTGTATGGGTGTTTCCCAGTACTGGGTTTCGGTTGAAAAGGCATCCACTGCATAAAACCTCTGCTGGAATAGTTGGTGGTTCATTCTGCTGTGGCAACCCCTGATTAATAAGGGACTGAGCTGAAGGAAAATGAATGAAATCGAGCTGAGGATACCTGCTTACACATCATTAAACGTATCTGGGTATGTCACAAAACCTGCTTTCTGCAATCTCTTATTCAACTGCTAGTAAGGGAAAGTAAATGTATCAATCATATGACACTATCAAAACATTTACACGTGTAGATTTGATACAGCCTATACAAAATAGCATCAAAATTAGGGGAAAAGTTGATTAAATTTACCCTGATCATGAAGTGATTGTATTTCAGAAACTGCTAGTAAAGGGGGATGTTCATACTACCTTCTCTAGAGTTTGGAATAGGATAAATGCTGTAGTCAAGAAAAATGAGTGAGTGGTAGTTCTGCATGTGAAAATACCTTATGTCAGAGCAATTATCAGACTAATTGAAAGGCAACAGTAATGCCAATAACAGCTCAATACAACTGCGTTCTGCAGAACAGGGTCTTTGAATGCCAAATCTTGGAGCAGATGAGCACAACTCTACTACTTCTGTCAGTTAAGAACAGCCTGCAATTCATACTTGCTCAGCAAATTTTGACAATAAAAGGTTGCCTGGACTGATGAGTCTCAATTTTTGCTGCCACAGTCAAGAGGGAAGGGTCAGATTTTGGCATTAAATGTGTGCAATTAAATGCTGGTGCAGATGGATGAAGGAAACACTTCTCTTCTTCTTCATTTTAAATTGGATCAACAGTACTGCCTGCTAAGCGATCTTGAAGCTGCCTGTGCTCTTGCTTCAGGCCAGTTTGAAATCAGCTAATTCCATTAAAAGTGATAGGTGCTGGGAAGTCTCACTAAATCTCTTCCTGATCCATTTTTAATGGGAGGAATAGCCTGTGAAAATGTCACCAGTCCCTTTCAGGTGATGAAGCGTGATGGGGGTTAATGACATGAAGAACATGGGAAATAACCCTGACCAGTTATCTGTGCCTAAATGGATTTCCCAAGTCTTGCTATAAAGGTGGTCACATGTTCCAGTTTTTCCCACATTTGTAGAAAGTTCCCAGCATTGATTGAGTTCCAGTGGAGCCAGACTCAAACAGAAAGAACCAGCTTTGGGCTCCAGAGGACTGACACTAAGTCTGGTGCACCATTGCCAAATTCCCACCTCTGGAACACATGCTGTTAATTAATGTGGGATATCCTGAAGAGTGCAGTGCACACCCCACATGACCTAAAGACCACTGACAATATTTTTCACTTTTCAAAATGCTTGCAGTCCCATATTGTCATATGTACTAAATTAACAGTAGATTTAAAATACATTTTTATCAATAAATAAATCTTAATACATAGTGATAAAAGTGGGCCTGTAAACGACAACTACACAGACACACAAGATGGAGCAATATGATGTGTTTTGAGGAACAGTCTGTCGCAATGTTTCTTTGAGTTTGATAAATAATCATAAATTAGGTTAAACATTTTGTGTATGGGGTTTAATATTTTATGTTTCATTAAATCAAATGGAAAAATCTAGCTTATTTGGTTATTGATCAGTTACCTATAGATCATCTGTTGTCATAAAATACAGAAAAGAACACCCTCCAATTTTGGGGTATGCTCTGCATGACCATCCACTATGGCAGATTATTTTGTTCACTCAAGGCCAACTCAGTATTCAAGTTTTAAACTTTAATATTAGGTCAAAGACTCAAGAATACACAAGATATGTCACTCGTATAGTTTTGAATGAGGGAAAAGTGCAACGATCAATATGGTGAATGAAGCTCCGTCTACTGGTTCAGGAGCCAATTATCGATTGCTATAGACTGACCATTCATCTGGGGGAGAAGCTCAGAACAGACATGTGCTTTTACAAAAAAAAATATAAATAAAATAAAATAAAATAAGAAGACGTGTGCTTTTAGTTTTGTGGACAACAAACACTGGAATCTCAGCAAATACTTTCTTCACAGACATAAGACATGTATCCATATAAAGCTTGAAATATCTACTTTTAAATGAACCAAGTACCCATGAAAACAAAAGTGTTTTGGTTTTGTAATCTGTATGAAACCAACGTGAGGTACAGTCCGTCCTGTCAAACGCACATCGTATGACAGCAACTACTCAAAAGCCCAAAAAACGTATTTTCTTTTCTGGAAGAGATTCGCCATCAAGACCAAGTTGTGGATTACTTCAATAGAGCAGCACAATTTGACAAAACATTATCCAGAGGATGATGACATGTAGAACGGCCATAAACAAGGTTGGTGTCGTGATCTCGTTCCTTTTGAGTGTGCATGTAGCTCGGGCAACCTGAAAGTATCAAGACTTTGTTTAATTCGGACGTTAAGAATCGAAACTTAAGAGACAATTGTTGTTTAATTTTATTGGTGGTTGCAAATTCGTAATCTAATCGTAAGCTTGGAAAACAGTTTTGAAGAATTTGATGTTTCCCCATTCAGACAGAATGCCCGGGAGGCATTTCAAAGATGGCCACCAAGTGAAATGACTTGTATTAAAGGGACTTTGATTAAGTAGATATTTAGGCTGTTTTATTTGATTGTAGGCTTAACTGGGGTGTTTTTTCTTTGTTGAAAAACTCTTATTAAAATGTTGATAATAAACTGATGTTTTAAGTTAGTTTAGAAAATTCCATTGCAATATTGGAGACAATCTAAGACTGCAAATGAAGTCTATTCTGGAGTCGTTTGCGAGAATTGACTCCAATAAACTCAGAACTGAACACCCTCACTGTTGCCATGACAACAAGTACTCCATGAGTTTTGCTACTAGGGCTACAACCATTGGATGCGCTTTGAAAAACGAAACCATCCTGGATCAAGCCAATTCATCAACAATCAAATCCAGTTAACTGTAATCCCCATGTGACGGACCGGTGCACCTCTGCCAGATATTGTGCACCCCATCATTCACCAGTATAGGGTAAGATAGAGATTAGGTGTGGGGGAAGGTTTAGGATTAGGAGGTGTGGTTGGGATTAGGCAATCAGGTAGTGAATTCAGGGGGTGCATAATTTGGGAGAGGCACATTTTATAGCACAAGTCTGGGACTGACCCCATAATGACTTTGTTTTTATTCTAGTCTTTTTATTGGCCTGAACGGCCAAACCTCCACCCCTCATTCACCTGACCTGAAGTTTGTTCTTCCTCAGAGAGCGATCTAACAGCTACCAGTATGGAGGAGCTGGCAAAGGAGAGCATTAGCTTCTTATCAAAATCCTCCCTAGAGACAAATGAGCCAAGGCTGGGCTCTTTAGGAGCGGTGTTCATCATGCTGAAGTCAGCGCTAGGCGCCGGGCTGCTCATCTTTCCCTGGGCGTTTGCTAAAGCTGGAGGAATTCACTCCGCTGTCACTGTGGAAATGGCAAGTAACTCTGGCTGACTATTGAACATTAACTGTGTGAATCTTTTAGACTGTGGCTTCTAACACATTGATCTTGTGAAATATTTGCTGGTTGTTTTAAAGAAGGGTTTCTGTAGGTTTTAAAGAGCAGGGTTCCCACAGGTCATGGAATTTTAAAAGATATATTCCAGACATTGAAAGTCAGGGGATTTAATATATATATATTCCAAAGCATGGAATATCAGATATTTTTTGTTTGTCATTTTAAATGTTACTTTCCCTTCATCAGAGTGATTTTTTTTCTAGACCGTGTTTTTTCATTGTACTGTTTCCAGTTGTTATGGTTATACTATTTTTTCACTGCCAATGTATTTCTTTCTCAAATAAGTCAAATGCAGTCACCGGGCTTTTAAAATCCTCTCTGTCACAGTATTTGTCAGTGCTCAACATACAGCTGCCCATTTATCTGTTCATTATAGTTCATAGAAATTCAGCTTTTTAGTCAGTGAAAGTCAGGGAAAGTATTTGACATTTGACTTTGAGTGGGAACTCTGAAGGGACAGTTAATCCAAAACTGCAAATGTCCTCATAATTTCCTCACACTCAAGTGGATCTAAACCTTTCTAATGTATTGCTTTTGATGAACACAAAGCTAGATGTTCTGAAAAATGTTGGGGGGGAAAGCAGCCATCAACATCTATAGTATCATAAAAATACTATGGAATTCATTCATTCATTCATTTATTCATTCATTTTTTTTTTGGCTTAGTCTCTTTATTAATCTGGGGTCACCACAGCGGAATGAACCGCCAACCTATCCAGCATATGTTTTATGCAGCGGATGCCCTTCCAGCTGCAACCCATCACTGGGAAACATTCATACACACTCATTTACACTCATACTCTACAGACAATTTTATCTTAACCAATTCACTTGTACCGCATGTCTTTGGACTTGTGGGGGAAACCGGAGCACCCAGAGGAAACCCACACGAATGCGAGGAGAACATGCAAACTCCACACAGAAATGCCAGCTAACCCAGCCGAGGCATGAACCAGCAACCATCTTGCTGTTAGGCGACAGCACTACCTACTGCGCCACCGCGTCGCCCACTATGGAATTCAATGGCAGTTTTTTTCTCAATCAGTCTTCAGAACATCTTTGTGTTCAGCAGAAAAAAATAAGTTTGGAACAAGTGGAGAATGAGTAAATGATGGTAGAACTATTCCTATAATTTGTCCCTCCATATTTGAAGTTCTTAAAAAGTCAGAGCGTAAGATATATTAAAATATTAATATATATATATATATTAAATCAACACATTACATGTGGTGCAAGTTCCTCAATATTTTTGTTTTTTGAATACAAATTTTCAACCTTTTTAAATCAAAATACATTTACTGGATTTGTAAAATGAAAAAAAAAAAAAAAACATCTTTGTTTTTGTTTTTAACATCTTATGTCATTTTGCTTTTTCCAAGTAATTGCAACTTAATTTAAGAAGCATTAGCTGTTTCCATATTTCAATATCTGGAGTTATTTAAACCTCAGCTAAATTTTTTTATAAACAGATTAAAAAGTATTAGAGATGAGTATATGCTGTGTTTTTTTGCTATACATTTTTCTATTTAAAGAACATAAGGTCATATTCCTTTAAAAATTAATCTATTCATTTTAATTTCTTGGTCATAAACATCTTTAAAAGCAGAAGGTGAGTGAATAATGCCAATTTAAATCTCGTTTGAACTTAAGTATTTGCACTTATTTGAATTCTGTCCATGTTATTGTATATAAATTATAAAATATATTTATTTATGCTTTGAAAACAATGTGCAGATCAGTGTACACCTAAATATGAATTCTGTCTCACATAGATTTCTCTTGTGTTCCTGATAAGTGGACTGGTCATCCTGGGCTATTCATCTTCAGTCAGTGGACGAAACACATATCAGGCTGTGGTCACAGATATATGTGGTCCTGCCATAGGCAAACTCTGTGAGATCTGCTACGTCTTCAACCTCTTCTTCATATCTGTTGCTTTTTTGGTCATAGTGGCTGACCAGCTTCACAAATGTAAGAAACACAGAGTTATTCGTGGGACTTTGACCTTATCGCTTGTTGTTCATCTATCCTTATATTGATTCATTTCTCCCAGTGTGTCTTTCTATGTATGAGCTGATCACAGGCCTGCCAGAATCAGAGATGCCATATCACTGGTACACAGACCAGAGGTTTGCCCTCTTTCTTCTGTGTCTCCTTTTCATTTTCCCTCTCTCTGTCCCGAAGGAGATCAGCATACAAAAGTATACCAGGTGAGCAAAGGGATTCAGTCAGTTTCAGTACACACCCTCACAGATCTCTTAAGTTTGACACCCAGCGGTTGAACTAGGTATTGCACTCCTGGTTCAAAACACATGCAAGCGCAGGTTGCCAGATTGATCAAACTAACAGGAGTGTGCCTGACCGTCGTGACTAAAGGCTGATTCATACCATGTTCTGCGTGTGATAGAAGGAATATTGTCCATAATCCGTATTATTACAAGTATTTGTTTTAACCAATGCCTGAACTGTTTCTAGAATTTATAGTCTAGAAACAGCTTCTATTTTTTTCTGCAGCTGAACAACAGGATAAACTGACAATGATCACCTCAGGTGCTTTATTCAGTGTTAAATGCTAATAATGTGTGTTTGAATGCCATTTTACATGACATTTATTGCCTGAAAGCAGCAGATAGTTCACCTCAGGTCTTGACAATAAAGTAAACCGCTTGAAATTGAACTTTAGAGCTGTGATTTAGTGCACGTCAACACAAATCAGTAATTCAGCATCTACATTTAATGATGTTAAAAAGGTTTAATATGTATTTATAGGGTTATAAACCTTATCATTTCGGTGGAGTGCAGCAAGTGCACTATTCTGCGTCTCATTTCTGAGACTGCTACTATCCACTGGAGGTCACATGTCAGTCACAGAGGCGTACTTGGACAGCCTTCCTGACCGAAATAATGAAATACACGATTTTCCACCAAGGCAACTCGGGATGCTGAAATATAATTGGCTAATGTGGCAGTGGGTGGGTTAAAAGAACCAAAACAAAGACAGCTGTTCCGGCATGTAATGCACATTGGCCCCATTTACACTGTCTGGTCTTTATGCCCAATTGCGATTTGTTGCTTATATCTAATTTTTTTGCCTGTCTATTTACACATTCTTTTAATTGTTTGTGACCCATATCCAAATTATGTGTTTACACTTGCCATACAATTTACGACTCTGCACATGCATAAAAGTGGGTTCGAGCATCTGTGCCACACTGGCCACGATGGAAGAAGTTGTCCTGCTTTTAGCTCTGCAAAATATGCAAAGTTCACCCAACTTTAAAATGATTTTGAGGCGGTGGACCATCATTACAGCTTGCGCCTATGGATTATATGTGGTGTCCTCCACCATTCAGAGGAATTTGTGTGTATGAGAGAAATCTTAGGTTTGGTGGGAGCAAATTGTGGCGACCTACCACTTTCTTCCTCTGTGTTTCCTCTGATGTTGTTTACCGTGTCAGCATCTCCTCACACGCTCTTCCTTATTAATCAATAAACCACGGAGAAGTACCACATTATCGCAAGTTTAATGATGTACAAAACAGAATGCCTCAATAAATCCGATCTGTCTGTTTACAGGATAGTCGCATTGTCACATTTCCGATTTTTATCTGATTTATTTCCACATTTGATGGAGGCCTGAACCCGATCTCTGAGTATCCGAATGCATGCGTTTTTGTGTGTTTCAGTCATAAAACAGATCCAATCTGTGTCACATATGAGCAAAAAAAACAGAATTGGGTCACATTTAACTGGCAGTGTAAACGGGGCCATTGTCAACGCTGAATATAGATAAACAAGAATGTTCACTTGACATTTTTCTTAAATATCTGCTAACATATTATGGTATTTTTATTATTTAAAATAGCCAAAATCTTACATACAGCACCTTTAAATTAATATTTTCTACAGGATGCTTTACAGTAATAATAATACATTTGTGCATATACATTAGAATAATCAGCATCAAAGCCAAAAATCGCAGTCCATCAAAGTCATAAGATCACAGTCCAAAATTTGTACACACAAATTAATATCTTGGGGAAAATATTAAATAAAATTGTAATAAACCGAAAAATCAAGAAAAAAACATCAAATTTAGTAGAAATTTAGCAATGTTTATTTAGCAATAACTCAGGTAACATTGTTTTTTTTTTTCAAGGTCCATTTGTTATATTTAATTTACATTGCATCTACATGCCAACTATTTCTCATTAGATTATAAGTAGACTGTTAGGTTGGGGTTGGGGTTGGGGTTAGGGTGAGTGTAAGTTGACATGTACTTGTGAAGTTGATGTCTGTTCAGGGAACAGTATCAGCAGATATTGAGCACAGTCTACTAACACTCAAATGGACCATCAACATAAAGTGGTACCATAACTCATTTGAATTTTAATGTTATCGTTTTATTCCTAAAGATGTTAGGTGACCAAACTGTAATTTAAAATATTGACAATCAAAAATGATTGTCCATGTTCACTGAGAAATGGGGTGTACTCATTCATTTATTGTATATTACTTGGGCTTTGATTTAAAATCTGTTCACTTTAGCCATCTTAGCTATTAGGGGACTGTTCAGAAATGGGGTAAAAGTGCTTGTGTGTGTTTTATTTTCCTGCTGAACTTTGCAAGCCAATAGCTCAAGAAGTATTATATATACAGCCAAAAGTTTGGGGTCAGTATTTTTGAATGTTTTAAAATAAGTTTATCCTGCTAACCAAGGCTGCATTTATTTAATCAAAAATACAGTACACATTGTAAAACTCTTAAATGTTATTGCACTATAAAATAACAGTTCAAAAATAGTTCAGAATTTAGTTTAATAATTTATTTCAGTGATTTTAAAAATTAATTTTCAGCTTCATTACTCCAGTCTTCAGTCACATGATCCTTCAGAAATCACTCTATTATTATTATTATTATTATTATTAATAATAATATTATTATTAATAATAATAATAATAATGCTGATCAAAATAAAAGCAATTAATAGTAATTAAATTAGTAATAATTTTATTTGAAAATAAATAATAATTAACAATTTAACCTTTTTTTTACATTTATTAAATGTCTCTTTGATGTACAGAATAATTGTCTTTAGAAAAAAACATGAAAAAAACTGACCCCAAACTTTTGACCTGTTGTGTATATTAATATAAATTTGCCTTTTTTTCTATCATATTCATTCAATAGTCATCATTACTACAATGTAATACCCAACAGTCAACTTTATCAAATTAAATGAGTGTAGTTAACTCAAAATTGACAAAGTTAATTCTACTCCTTTAAAAAGAGTTTTGAACACAGTGTTGAAGATAATCAGTGAATTAAAAACCTCATTACTGCAACTAAAACTGAGTAAGTTGACAGTACTCATATAGAATAGTTTTTGAACTCAAATGGTTTGTTGCAATCGATTTCCTCAAATGGTTTGAGTAACCTTAACTTATTTGGTTTTACAGTGTATAAAACAGTGGATTAACTTAATATACATATTCAGCATTTATTATTTTGTCTTTCTTTTTGTATGTATTTCTTTTAGCAGAAATATACTTTTATGCACCAACACAATATTATAGATGCATTTCATTGCTTCGATTAGCTCACACAAAGCCATAATGATGTCCTGTTTGTAAAGGAACCAATTTAAAGTTATTTTCACTGACTTGTTTGCACTTGTTAAATTAGTTTGAAAGTAAAAAAATGTAAAAGGCAAACTGCGGGACCCCTATGAGGTCGAAAGAGATGCTAGTAAGTGAATAAAAAGACAATGACTGCGCCTTCATGAATTTTATGAAGCGCTTTTATTGCTTCTGTTTTTCATTAGGACATTTATGGTCAATCGCTGTGACAGTGCGCAGCATTTTGGATAGTTTTCAAATGACTCTCCTCTGACTAATAAGCATTGCTTTCCCACCCCCCACACGTCAGCAAGATGATTTGTTCACTTGTGTCACCAGTGTTTATTTTCTCCTCAGTCGTCTTTGATATTTATTTTTCCTCAGTGTTCTAGGAACTTTTGCTGCCGCATATCTGACTGTGGCCATCGTTGTGAAATACCACATGAGACCCATCCATGAGATCAATCTGTCACCTCTTTACAGCAGCGGGTGAGTGTGCGCTGATGGAGCTTTCATATTTATTGAAAAATTCAATAAAGGAGCCCAGCATTTTTAGCACCACCTTTCCTCCCGCTGTGCCTGAACAAAACATACTGTCATGCTGAGCTTTGAATATAACTGCTTCATTTAGCTGAAAGCAAAAGGTCATTGAAGCTTTTATGATATGAAAATAATATGATATTGTAATATCATTATTAATAAAAAAATTCTTGCTTTGACATTCTAATCCTTACACCATTAAATCTGTTTTCTTAAATCTACTTAAAAGACCAGCTGGAACTTGTCAAAGCACTTAGACATTGATGTTTTGCTGATTTTAATTGCTTTATGGTCTAAGAGTCTTCAGTAATTATCAAGAAGCAGCTTGTTACTTTGATCAGTTACGTTTGATCATATTTCTTGACAACAGCTGAACTATCACTAACACTCACTATTCTATGCTCTACCCAGTCTACTACAGAAATAACATTCTAACATTAACACCGTCTTTAAACCTTAATTTTCTTTTTTTATTTAGGTGAAGTTTATTTATAAACTAATTTAAGAGGAGCACGTGCTTATGATTGATCACAGCTGGTCCTGCATTAGCTATCGAATGATTCACCAATCAGATAATTCCTAACTCACTATAAATAACCAGAGTTTATTCCTTCAGTTATCTTCGTCTTGAAGAATCCGCCTTCCACCCTTACTCCAATTCCTTCTCCTTTTTTGCCTCTTTAATGGGGCAGCATGGCGACTCAGTGGTTGGCACTGTTGCTTCACAGCAGCAGTGTCACTGGTTCAAGTCCTTAACAGGCCAGTGAAAGTTTCCGTGCAGAGTTTACATGTTCTCCTCATGCTAGCGTTGTTTTCTCGCGGGTTCTCTGGTTTCTTCCCACAGTCCAAAAACATGCGCCATAGGTTAATTGACCAATTCAAATTGACACATAGTCAAGCTCTTAATCAGCAGTATTTCTCTATACAGCAATCCTTAATTCACTAGCCCTAAATAAAGGAGAGAGTTCTCGAGATCTACCTGAGCTTTATATTGTTACATGGTTGTTGTTTTTTTAAAACCCTTTAGCACTAACACATTCTGTACTATCTTTATTTATCATATATTTAAATAAAACTCAATCCAGAATTGTGGTACATTTCAGGCATTTTCATTTCCATTTCCTAACAAATAAAAAGGACAGTAAACTGAATACATTGTTAATGTGATATAATTTGTTCAATCAGTTGGCTTAGTCCCTGATTTATCAGGGGTCGCCACAGTGGAATAAACCACCAACTATTTTGGCATATGTTTTACACAGCAGATGCCCTTCCAATTGGCTGTTTTTCTATATTATATGCACATACAGTATCTGTACATAAAATATAGGAAAACAGCCAATTTTATATATGTCACATATATTAAAAACCTATCAAAACCTTTATCAAAACATTTGTTTATATAGGTTATTTCCATGTTATTTCCATGTTGGGCAATCACTTATTTGCCATAGTTAAATTCCATAACATCTTTTTGAATATGCTGTCACAAGCTTGGCACTCCTGTCTTTGGGAATTATTGCTTATTCCTCTTTGCAGTACCTCTCAAGCTCTATCAGGTTGGATGGGTAACTACATTGTACAGCCATTTTCAGATCTCTCCAGAGATGTTCAATAGGATTTAGGTCTGGGCTCTGGCTGGGCCACTCAAGGACGTTCATCGAGTTTATGTGAAGCCACTCCATTGATATTTTGGCGGTGTGCTTTGGCTAACTGTCCTGCTAAATGATGAACTGTCGCCCTTAGTCTGAGGTCAGAATGCAGCAGGTTTTCATTCATAATGTCTCTGTACATTGCTGCATTCATCTTTCCCTCTATCCTGACTAGTCTTCCAGTTCCTGCTGCTGAAAAACATCCACGATGCTGCCACCACCATGCTTCATTGTAGGGATGGTATTAGCCTGGTGATGAGCAGTGCCTGGTCTTCTTCAAATCTATTACCTGTCATTCACTCCAAAGAGTTCTATTTTAGCCTCATCAGACCAGATAATTTTTTGTTCTGAGATGCCTTTTGGCAAATTCCGGCCAGGAAGCGGCTTCTGTCTAACCACTCTACCATTCAGGCCTGATTGGTGGATTGCTGTTCAGATGGTTGTACTTCTGTATGGTTCTCCTCTCTCCAAAGCAGAATGCTGGAGCTCAAACAGAGGTCAGGTCTGTGGTCACCTCCCTGAATAAGGCCCTTCCCTCCGATCACTCAGCTTAGATGGCTGGCCAGCTCTAGGAAGAGTCCTGGTGGTTCCAAACATCTTCCACTAATGGATGATGGAGGCCGCTGTGCTCATAAGTTTCAGAGCAGCTGAAATTTTTCTGTAACCTTCCCCAGCCTTGTGACAATCCTCTCTCAGGGGTCTACAGACAATTCTTTTGTCGTCATGCTTGGTTTGTGCTTTGACATGCACTTTCAACCCTGGGACCTTAGACAGGTGTATGCTTTTTTAAATCATGTCCAATCAACTGAATTTAGCACAGGTGAACTCCAATTAGGCTGCTGAAACATCTCAAGAATGATCAGTGGAAACAGCATGTACCTGAGCTCAATTTAAAGCATCACGACAAAGGCTGTTAATACTTATGTACTTGTGATTTTTCAGGTTTTTTATTTTAAGCTACATTTTTTCACATTGTCATTATGGGATATTGTGTGTAGAATTTTGAGGAAATTAATGAATTTAGTCCATTTTGGAATAAGGCTGTAACACAAAAAATGTGGAAAAAGTGAAGTGCTATGAATACTTTCCGGATGCACTGTAGATGGCCTGTATATGCACATTTATGCACCTCAATTTTGTTAATATGTTGCATATATTGGCAAACAGTATATGCAGCGTACATATTTTTATACTGTATATGTGCATATATTTACTGCATATAGGTTTCTTATATGCGCATATATCCTCACATAGGTTTTTTTCATGTGGGTGGAGACAGTAAACTTAATATTTTAAAGACAAAATGCCTCTAAATCAATGGTCTCCAACATGTGGTCTTGAACACCTTAATTAGTTGAATCAGTTGTGTTTAATTAAGGTTGGAACAAAACCCTAATCCAGTTTGAGACCTATGCTCTAAATACACGTACCAACATTATTTTTTACATATAGTGATCTAATTTTTCCTATTATTCAGAACTGTTAGATTAAAGTTTTGCTTTTTGAAAGATAATAAATGGTTTATCTTGGTTGCAAAATGTACCCACAATTCTAGAATCACCCATGTCCTTGTTTGTAAGTCACTTTAGATAAAAAAAAAATATATATATATATATATATTTAAAATGATCACATTTACGTGTGAATATAAATGCTGAAACCATCTGTTTAACAATCATTATTGTTGTTTTAATTTAGAATAAGCTCCTGGGATTCAGTGTTTAGCGTCATCCCGACTATTTGCTTTGGCTTTCAGGTGAGTTTCCTTTCTTTTATTCAACATTCTGCCATTGTATCTTTGAGGGAAAAGAAAAATCTCTCCCTTCACCAAATATCATCACAAATGAGGGGTGTTCTTGCTCTCGCTTTAATATTTAAGGTCAGGTCAGATGCAAAGCGTGAAAAATGGCGCATCTATGAGGTTGAGTTTTATTTGTCAGTGCTGGGGATTGTCAAAAATGCAATAAAAGTCCAGTGGCATCGCAGAAGAGCACACAATTACTCTGTGTGCCCCAGGCTGATTGATTACGAGGCAGGAAGGGAGAGAAAAGGGAAATGGAGATATGAAAAAAGCTGTGCAGCATGGGGAATGTGCTGGTGCTGAAAAGTTCGTTATTACAGAAGGAGCTGTATTTTATTTTGGGGTGTAGGCTGGAGATGTGATGTTTGAACACAGCTGTGCTTGTGCTGTTTCAGTGTCATGAGGCCTGTGTTGCTGTATACAGCAGTATGGAGAACAGAAGACTGTCACACTGGGTCTTCATCTCGGTGTTGTCCATGCTCATCTGCCTGCTCATCTACTCGCTCACAGGTCAGTAATGATCATATACTGAAACACAAAGATTGCTTTTAATCAAATAACACTGCACACTGTGAACTATGGCTTTCTTTAGATAAGCAATAAAATGTGATCATTGTCAATAATGTATTGCGTACTTTATATTTCCACCTGCAAAATATTACTCGTCTTAGTCCTTCTCTCATAACTAATAACACAGCAATTCTCATTCATGTACTAGTCACAAGACACTTCACAATCTTACTCCTAAACATCTCACCAAACTTCTCCATATCTATACCCCTTCTCGCAATCTTAGATCATCCAACTCTAGTTCTCTGGTACCACCCTGCACCCAATTGAGCACAATGGGAGCCAGATCTTTTAGCTCTACGGCTCCTCGGCTATGGAAATTGCTTCAATTGGATTTAAAGGGTCATGAAAACCGCCTCTTTTGGTTCAAGTCTGTCTCAAAGTTTTTTCAAAAATGCACCAAGATGGGTGTGGAGCGCTGTGAGTAGAGAGAGGAGTGGGCGTGACCGGCAGAGCAGGGAATAAAGAGGGGAGCGAACAACTGTTGTCAGTTGGCTCACACGATGAGATAAACCGTGAGGAGACTCATGTCCTGCTACATTTGTTTTTTTGTAATTTTATATACACAGATTTGTTATATTATCATAAAAATAATCATGTAAACACTATAAATGAGTAGTACTTCTCTCCTCGTCAATCCCCGGGTCTAATTGCAGACACAGTGGATAGCAGTGCAGCAGGACTCTTGCCCTGTTTATTTCAACCATTAGCCCTGCCGGTAATCTGGATGATTTCAAACATAGGCTATTACAGCAGCACGGATATATGCAATGTGTCTGAATGGTAACAAACTCAACTAATAAAAGACAAAGTCTGCCATTCTCCAATTCTTGTACAGCTCTCCCGTCAAAAATGCTTGCTGTAAATCAACAGCTTTGCTGTATCGGTCAAAACAGCATTGCAGGGAAAACCATGCAACAAACCCTGTAGATCATGGAAACAAACACACACATACGACCCTTCATGAAGGGTATAAAAAAAATAATGTGCTCTCATGAATAATTAAGAAGTAGGGTCTTCTCATAGGATAAGAAAACTCCACTATGAATAATAATGAGAAACCCCCGCGTCATCACTCCGATAGCAGATTTGTGCTACGTCACTGATTTTGATCCCACCCCAAAAATTACTTTAAACCTGGAAGATGAAATGAGCTGACAAAAGCTTAAAATTATCCTGTTTTTCCCCACAATTAAAGCTGACAGGCGCTAGCGTGGTCTCAACCGATGCTCAACACACACAAATCTGTTAAATCTTTTTTTTTTAAAAGTACTCCAGTGTTTCTTCACACTTTTAAATCCTGTCTTAAGACCCATCTTTTTAAAGCTGGCTTTTTTATGATTATTTTTTTTTATCATGTTATTTTATATTTAAGATGTATTTGTATTTGCAACTCTTTTTTTGTGTTTGAAATCATGCCTGGCAGCGTTTTTATTAATTGTTTTGGTATATTTGTTGATGTTTGTTGTAAGGTGACCTTGGGTGTCCAGAAAGGCACCATTTATAAATAAAATAAATTATTATTATAATATCAAATTGTACAGGCTAATACTAACATCCATTTTATTATATTCTTTCATCTAAAATATTTAGATGAGTTAGAGTGAATTCTGACAGCTTTTTGTATAAACTGCTAAATGTTTTAAAACTCTGGGGTCAGGAAGATTTTTTTTAGAAAAAATATTAGAATATTTATTTAGTAAAAATGTACTAAAATGATCCAAGTGAACATATTTTTATACAGTGCTCAACATACATGAGTAAACCCCTCACAAATCCCTCATTTGGATTTATATTTACAATATTATAAAATATTATATTTGTGCATACATTAGATTAGTCAGTACTGAAGCCAAATCTGGAGCTTATCTAACAAAATAACTTATGATAATGGTCCAAAATGAGTAGCCCAAATTTATGTTAGGGAAAAATATTAAATAAATAATGGAAAAAAAGGGCAAAAATCAAGAGAAACTAAATTTAGAAATTTTGTAGTTTGTTATTTTTTCAAAATATTTATACACATGAGTTTAATTGTTTTATCTTTCTATTTCCTAAGATGTTCTGTGAATAAAATGTTATTATTATAAATTCATCAGTTTAATAAATCTGTTTTGTTCAAATGCACAAATATATATTGCCTATATTCACTGAGAAATGGATAAAAATATTAATTTTCAAAATGGAATGTAATCATTTATGTTGAGCACTGTATATGAAGAATATGTTTACGAAGAAAGTTTTAAATAAGCACAGTGGCCTGAAAATGAATATATTTCTGGTTGGCAAAACTAAAAAAATCCAGACTGGTTAAGATCAGAATAAGTGGTTTCACAACTTATGAACATATGTTCTCTGCTAACTCTGGGTTTAATTCAGAGTTTGTGATTAACTCATGCAACAGGCATAAGGTGTGCGGCAAACACAAACAGCCAATCAGTTTGATTAATTTCTCATAGGAGAGCCAGCGCAATTCACTTCAATTTAATTACATTTACAATGCAGAAATAAACTGTTGATGCAGTAAAAGGTTTAGAAGGCAACTTAAAGCAAATATTATTTTATCAAAACAAATCAATCCATCAACTCATTTAATAACAAAGTTTCACAAACAGCTAAACATACATTTTAAAAGCCTTATATATTATATATATTGAGCCTTTTAAAGTATCTATATAAATATTTTAAAGGTATATTCTCATTTAAAGAGATTATTAAATTTAATTTGCAACTCAAAACTATTTGAATATACAGTTGAAGCCAGAAATATTAGCCCCCCTTTGTATATTTTTTCTTTTTTATATATTTCCCAAATTATGTTTAACAGAGCAAGGAAATATTCACAGTATGACTAATAATGTTTTTTCTTTTGGAGAAAGGGTTGTTAGTTTTATTTTGGCTAGAATAAAAGCAGTTTTAAACTTATTAAAAATAATTTTAAGGTCAAAATTATTAGCCCCTTTAAGCTACAATTTTTTTTTGGATAATCTACAGAACAAACCATTGTTAAACAATAACTTGCCTAATTACCCTAACCTGCGTAGTTAACCTAATTGACCTAGTTAGGCCTTTAAATGTCACTTTAAGCTGTATAGAAGAGTCTTGAAGAATACCTAGTAAATTATTATTACCGTCATCATGGCAAAGATAAAATAATTCAGTTATTAGAAATGAGTTATTAAAACTATTATGTTCAGAAATGTGTTGAAAAAAAAATCTTCTCATTGTTAAACAGAAATTGGAGAAAAAAATAAGCTAATAATTCAGGGGGCTAATAATTTTGACTTCAACTGTATAATATATACTATAAATAAATATACGTCATATATTATAAATACATTATTAGAAACAAAGACAGTTTTGACTCAAAGAATTCTGTTAGTATAAAAGGCTTTAATGGGGACTGAGTGGCTTTGTTGAATCAGATACGCATTGTACTATACTTTATTTCAGGGGCGCTCAACCCCGTTCCTGGAGATCTAGCTTCCTGCAGATTTTAATTGCAACCCATATCAAACACACCTGCCTGTAATTATCAAGTGCTGTTCAGGTCCTAATTAATTGGTTCAGGTGTGTTTGATCAGGGTTGGAGCTGAACTCTGTAGCAAGGTAGATCTCCAGCAACAGGGTTGAGCATCCCTGCTTTATTTAATGATTTGCAGAATCATTTATTTACATATATTAAAACTTTTAACCATAAAACAAATTTTAAAACATCTGCAACATTACATCAAGGCTAGTAGCATTGTTTATCAGCGTATAATAATGATATCTTTGAAAATAATAGCAGTAGTATGCAGAATTTATTTATTCATTTTCTTTTAGGCTTAGTCCCTTTATTACTCTGGGGTCGCCACAGTGGAATGAACCGTCAGCTTATCCAGCACATGTTTCATGCAGCGGATGCCCTTATCCATACCATCCATCCATACACACTCATCCACACACACACACACACACAACGGACAATTTTAGCTTAATTGACCTGTACCAAATGTCTTTGGACTTATGGGGGTAACCGGAGCACCCGGAGGAAACCCGCACGCGAACACGAGGAGAACATGCAAACTCCACACAGAAATGGCAACTAACCCAGTCAAGACTCGAACCAGCGACCTTCTTGCTGTGAGGCGACAGCACTACCTACTGCGCCATCGTGTCGCCTAGTGTGCAGAATGTTCGGTATATTAGTGTGGATAGTAAAATAGATATTAATACAAACTTTTAACCAGGTGTGTTTGGGTACCTGACATTCGGGAAGAACGTTGCTCCTGATATTCTGATGTCATACAGTGGTGGTGATGTCACCATGATTGTCGCCAGGCTTCTGTTTGGAATCTCAATTATCACCATCTACCCCATCATCGTCCTGCTTGGAAGGTCTGAAACCAACTGACTTACAGTTCTGCTATATTACTGTTAATATTCTACTGTTATTATAATGATTGAATATCCAGACTAATTTAAATGTGTGTGTGTGTGTGTGTGTGTGTGTGTGTGTAGATCTGTGATCCAGGATCCACTGCTGCGGCAGCGTCTCAAACACACAGCGGTGACTGAGTCTTATGAGAGTCGAACCCGCGTAGCCTTAACTACAGCCTGGGTTACAGTCACTCTCCTCATCGCAGTGTTCATTCCAGACATTAGCAAAGTGATTAGCGTCGTCGGCGGAGTCAGCGCTTTCTTCATCTTCATATTTCCAGGTAATTTGACCTGACTTCATTTAATTTAATGGCCACTTTTGCTTTATGTCACAAAACACACACGTAGAGTTTGTCAGATCTTAGCAGGACCGGAGTGGGACTCCTTTTCAGCCCTGGAGTTTCAAGCCTTAGACCGGCCCACCTCAGTTCAAGACTGACTATAATAAAATAACGTCATTTGCAATTCAGTTTCTAATGACAGTATTACGTCTTTTTTCAAGTAAACAGCTGCTTACGAACTTCAAATGTTTTTCATAAATATGAGAACATTAAAAGGTAGCTAAATCTCCAACACTATTCTTTGAAACATCACAATGTTCTTTCCTGCAATGTCTGAATATATATTCTGTGCAATATTCTTTACAGATATCCATATCCTTTGTAACGGTGGTCACACAAAAAATAAAAATAAAATATGTACACCTACATAAGTAACTCAAACAATATGTCTTAACACTAAACATAAAAATATAAAAAATAAATTAATTTAGCTAAAGTTCGAACTCAGGTCGGCTGCGTCATAAAGCAACGTGCTGACAACTGGACCACAATGGCGCTGACGTATTATCTGAAAGACTTTTAACCACAGTATTACTTTCTATTGATGGCTTAATCTTTTTTTCTCCCCTTTTTAATTTCTGATCAAGTTATGGTAGATTTAATAATGTAGTGAATCATCTGATTTTCATTGAGCAGGTGTAATATTCATTAACATTAATTATTGGAATTCTTAAATTTACTAAGGTGCCTAGTTTACGGTTGAATGATAGTTACATTATCATTAACCTGCCGGCTACATTTTGCTCACGGGGCTGCGAGAAAATAAATAAAAAGAGCGGAGCTGCGGCAAAATAATGAATAAAAAGAGTGAGGCTATGGTCAAATAAATAGAATAGTGCGACTGCTGAGAGTGCAAGCAGCTTGGGTCACCGGGCCTCGCAGTCAAAAAATGGAGCGGCCCACCGGGAATTCTCCCGAATCCCGATCCTCCCGATTAGCCAATCCGGGCCTGGATCTTAGATGTATTTGTGATGCACATCATAGAAACTCCTTAGATCAGCCTTTAATTAAAAAAAATATTTTTCAAGACTTTTTTTATGAAATGAACTCTCTTAAGGACATTTTTAGCAAAACAACACCAGAAAAGATTTTAGATCTGTTATCATGTATTAACACTATAAATCTAATTTCATTTCTGTATTTTTTTGTTGATTTTTTTTTATTGTATATTTATTTTTTAAATGTTCCTGCCATAAAAAGAGCCTTGGTTGCTGACATGGCATTAAATAAAAAATAGATTACATTACATTACACTGGTATTCTTCAAACGAAAACTAAAAACCCATCTATTCAGAGAACACCTGAACCCCAGTGAATAATACCAAAGCCACCTATAGGAACACACACACACTCTCTCCCTCTTTCTCTCTCTCTCTCTCTCTCTCTCTCTCTCTCAAAAAAAGCAAATGTCAGTTCTTCTGGCAGGAAGTTTCATTATTCTTCTCTCATTTGTACAAAATGTTTAGGATCCCCCAATACTAGATTTATTGTGATAATTACGTGAATTCCTTATTCACCTTTTAAAAACAATATGATGAAAGTACATAGAATTCTGTTTTAGATGTGCCATGTGGTATTTAGTTTATGGTTGGCATCTTGAGCTAAAGCATAAAATGGTGGAAAATGTCATATCTGTAACTTTTTTTAATTAATGTTTTAAAAAGTGTTTAAAATGTGCAATAATTTGTATTTAAAGGTCTTTGCCTCATATTTGTGGTGCAGTCAGAATCAGTCTCTCCTACAATGAGGTGAGAAACGCAGAATATAAATCTTGTAGTTTTACAATCCTGTATTGACCTTATTCTTCATGTTTAAGTGGGCGCAACCATCGGACGTCTTGAGCCAAACATATTCCACTCAAATTCATTTCCAAAGACGTTAAAAAGAGCTTGTTACACTGCGTGATGTTCCAAACTTTTATTCATTCATTCATTTTCCTTCGGCTTAGTCCCTTTATTTATCAGAGGTCACCACAGCGGAATGAACCGTCAACTTATCCAGCATATGTTTTACACAGTGGATACCCTTCCAGCTGGAAACCCAGTATTGGGAAACACCCATTCACACTCTTTCACACACATACGTTACGGTCATTTTGGGGGAAACCGGAGCACCCGGAGGAAACCCATGCAAACTCCACACAGAACTGACAAATGACCCAGCTGGGACTCGAATCAGTGGCCTTCTTGCTGTGAAGTGACAGTGCTAACCACTGAGCCACCATGTCGTCCTGTTCCAAACGTTTATTATTATATTCTTCTTTTTATGTATAGTCATGAACACTTGTTTGTAGAGCAAGTAGATTGACCATTTCCGCCGTTTATTAATCCAAATCATTTCCCTCATAGGCAAGTATTCTAAATCAGTTCTAAATCAATCTTAAGAATAAGATCAAAAATAGGGAAGAGGTCAATAGCAGAATAAGATCAATATAGGATGTTGCAATTCATACATGTTCAATAGATTGTACAATGACATTGTGTTTTTGTGTTGTTTCCCTCCAGATATCTTCTGGTCACATGGGGAATGATCACACTTTTGTGTGGCACCCTCATCTTTGGACAGAGCACATCAGTTGCCATCATGCAACTCATAACTGAAGTTTAAATCTCCATCTTATTATTTAGTGCAAGGACTTTTAACTACAATGAGAAAAAAAAAAAGATTTCTGCAAAATTGATGCAAACAGCTCATTAGTTAAATTTGATTCATTCATTTATTTTCTTTTCGGCTTAGTCCCTTTATTAATCCGGGGTCGCCACAGGGGAATGAACTGCCAACTTATCCGGCACCTTTTTTACGCAGCAGATGCCCTTCCAGCCGCAACCCATCTATGGGAAACATCCACACACTCGTTCACACACATACACTACGGAAAATTTAGCCTACCCAATTCACCTGTACCACATGTCTTTGGACTGCGGGGGAAACCAGAGCACCCAGAGGAAACCCACACAAACACAGGGAGAACATGCAAACTCCACACAGAAACGCTAACTGACCCAGCCGAGGCTCGAACCAGCGACCTTCTTGCTGTGAAGCGACCGCACCACCTACTGCGCCACCGCGTCACCCTGAGTTGAATTTAAACAAACAAATTTAATTTAGTAATTTTCAACTTAAGTTGTTTGCTTAAATTCAGCCCAAATAAATTGTTTACAACTACCTCAAAAGGGGCAAAGTAAATCCAAGGAATCATCTTTGAATCTTTTTTTCAGTGTGTGTGGTTGAACAAGGCTAGTCTTTTAATCAAAATAAGGTTGGTAACACTTTACAATTAGGCTGTATTAGTTCATGCATTTACTAACATGAACAAATAATACTTGTATTACAGTATTTGTTCATTTTACTAATGGTAACAAGCATGACTTCTTTAATAATGCATTAGTAAATGTTAAACTATGATCAATAAATACTGTGCAAATATTGTTCATAATTAGTTCATGTTAATAAAAGCATTAACTGATGAAACCTTATTGTGAAGTGTGACCATAATGTTTTATATGCCAACTGTTTAGGGTTTCTGCAGGTTTCCTCGTCAAATTTAAGGCTTTTTAAGACCCTTTTAAGACCATTAAGAATGACATTTTAGACATACTGTACAGGGTTCAAGTTTAGTCGTTTTTTTTTAATGGCCCGGTATATCATGAGGAATTGTGTAATTGTTTTCTTTCCCTGATTAGGGAATTTAATTTGGGGATTTTGCTATAAAAATGTTAAACAGCTGTTGTCAATTGTATCTCCTTAATATATATTAATATATGTAAATACAGTGTGGGCCATTTATATGTATACATCTTAATAAAATTGGGAATGGTTGGCGATATTAACGCCCTGTTTGTGGCACATTAGTATATATGTGGGGGAGTGGGCCATTTGTATATTTAAAGGTTTAATTATTATGTATTGTTGGTCATTGGATGGACGTTGGTCCGATTAAGTAGCTTTACTTGTAGGAAGCAAAATAAAAACCTGTTTAAAATGATTTAAGACCTGTACAACACAATATTTAATATGCAATATAATATACAATATTTTAGTGAATTTTTTAAATTTAAGACTTTAAGACCCAGCGGACACCCTGAGTATAGATTGTCTTTTTTTAATGTTCTGCAGCATTGATCGAAAGCAACCAATCACAGTTGGGTTTTGTTCAGCATCATGTTTTGTAACCATGAAATCAAGACAAATACAACAGCAGCTCTTTTTCAGTACTTTATTGAATAGCAGCACTCTACATAATCTAGAATTTTAACAAATTGAAGACGAATATAATACTTTGCATCCCTGCAATAAATCTCTACACTCACTTATAAGAGAGAAAGCCAGTATACGGAAACATACATGGGTATAAGAAGTAGTATTTCATCAAACAATGCCATTAAAAGTGACTGCTCATATAGTAAGTTTGATTCATTTCATATATATAGTTTCTTCTTGTTCCGTTACTGGAGTAATACAAAAGAAAATAAGAAATGCACAAAATCCATTTAAAGTAGCATAGCTAAAGTCTACGGCAAATCATTTACTGGACATTCATTTGTAACATGCACTCACCGTGAGGGGAAAAACAAACCAAAACAGAAGGCAGGATCGGTGGGAAAGCAAACAGAAAGAAATGCTGCAGTTTGGGCCCAGTCGCTTTTGTATGGAGTCAAGTTGTTTACACTTTGAGCCAAAAGGGAAATACAACAGTCTTGGCTTTACTGATCAACAGATGTGAAGATATGAGCCGCTCTGAAACATCCTCCACTATGAGGATGTTTTCACTTGACCTGAGAAATGACTTTGATCCCAAATGCTTAATTATACTGAAGTAAGAAACGGATGGAACATTAAAGGGAGAGTTTACCCCGAAATCAATACTCTGTCATCATTTTCTTGTTTGAAAACACAAAAGATATTGTAAAGAAAGCTGGAAACCATTGACTTCCATCATATTTGTTTTTTCTACTATGAAAGCCAATGTTTAAAGGATCTTTCCATAGATGTTTACATTTGATGTCGCCTACGTTATTGTTGTCTATTTAAAGAATTGCGTCAATAGAGCCGCCATTTTAGTACAGGGTAGTGCTCCTTTGAAATGAATGTGGGACCAAGGTGTAGAGGAAGACTGGCCATCCAGAGCCATAGATATATATAAACATTCACACATATATCTAAGATCAGGAGTTTTCCTGGTGGTCAGTATGCAATTTTTTTCACTATGAAAATTATAATTATTAATAAATTATAAATAATAATTGTAATCACTTTTCTTCACTGACGGATAAGTGAACTGCCGGCATTGCCAACAAAGAGCATGTGTTTGTGTGGAAATGTATTATCTCCCTCCCTCTTATATTTGATCTGATCTATGTCCTGAAACACAGCCCCTCTCCTGGTTTCACTTCTAATTCTAATGGAGAGAGCAATTTATTTGTGAATGAATTAGAACCCTGCACGGGCGTTAAATCTTAAGCTCTAGCCCGGCCCTTAAATCTAAGCCCTAGCCCGGCCCTGGACTGAGATGCACAGGCTATGTGCAAGGCATCACTGGCGCTTCCGGACCGCACGCATTAGATCTTATTAAACTTTAAAAAAAAATAATAATAATTCTAAAGCAGGCTTGAAGCCCGATATGCGTGCTAGCAATGACGTGAAAATTGGCCTGAAACCCAGTCCTATGGGCATAAATAAGTCGGACTCGGGGGGTCAAATGCAGGGCTCTAAAATGAATCTCCGTTATAAACGACTCATGTGAACCATCAATATCCTTGCGTCTTAATGTGCATATCCAACTTTATGATCTAAATGCTATATAACATTTGTAATATTCAATAATTTAGGGTGGACACTGAGGTGCAGGCACTGTTATGGTATCAGGCACCCTTATAAGTTACTTACTAAATTAGCCGTTACTTCACTTAGCCGACAAAATTACAAGTTTCTGGCACCGCAGCATCTGGTTGTCATATTTCTTTTACATTGTCTGCTGATTTTATTCATTATACGCCTAGAATTTAGTGTGAGTTGGTGCTACTTTGCGCTTATGGTCTGTGCAGTAAGTGACTGTATAATCATCAATAACGTGACTTGTTTAGCCCAAAAGTTCGTAACATACAAAACAACATCTTATCTATGAAATGTTCTGCCTTTATGCTTTGTTTTCTTTCTTTGCTCGTTACTAAACCTGTTTGCAGCACAAAAGTCCAGCATCATCAGATTGGCTTTGGTCTTGACTAGTGCGGTTGAATGACTTTTGTCCTGAGAGCACTGTACAAATTTGGCGGCACTATTGACGCATGCACAGGGTCCATATGCAATTTCTAGTGTATATATCTACGGTATCTTTCTTCAAAATATCTACTACTCAGGACGAGTAAATAGTGTAAAATACATTTTTGGATGAACTATCCCTTTAAGTCAATGCCACTCTTTTAATTTAAGCACTCGTCCCACATCTATATATTCCCTCTCAAGAGTGATCAACATAAAATGATGTTCTCTTCGTCAGCGAATCTCATTTATACAAGCATTTCATTCCTCGTTCAGGAACATTGTGCTTTTTGGAGCGGATGTTGATTTGGATGTGTTGTAAATGTAGGCCCCTTGACTGGCAGTATTGGTCATGCTCACGGTTTTGACAGAAGCACCAGTCCTTCTACATGGCTCAGTGCGTTACACAAACAATTCATGAAGATACAGTCCAAAGTACTTAATAGACCAACCTATACCTAGTATTAAACAGCCTTTACAGAAATGCTAGTGTCCATGGACAGCTTTAGAAATACTTTGCTGCACAGTTTTTGTCTTCTCAGAAGTTGTACCGCAGGGAACTGTCTGCAAAGCAGCGGATGCGTGCTTGAATTGGGATGAAATATTAATCGGCCTCTTTTGGTTAGTAGAGACTGTTCATGTAAGGTGATGTTTTAGGTGCAAAAGTGAGCTTCCCGAATGCGGTGGGAGTTTTGATGTGGGTTTCTGTGTGTTGCAGTGGATGTGAAGAGGGAACTGTGTCTGGAGACACTACTTTTGGCTCAATATTAAATGGATACTGTGTAAACAAGTAATTACAAAAGAGGAGACGGAGTGGGGGAGCAGAGAGAAAGAGGAGGTAAGAAAGCAGAGACTGTGACAGAAAGATAGAGAGAAGAGAGGGGTTTCAGGCAATAAGCGGGACGTCCCACCCGCAGACTGGCACACTTCTCAGTCCCTGTTCAGGCTGCACCAGGCGGCTAGAAAGAGTAAAAGAGTGAGCGAGAGAGAGAGAGAGAGAGAGAGAGAGAGAGAGAGAGACAGAGAGTCAGTGTCATTATTAAAGTAATGAAAGACAGTAAAATTCTTTGTATAGCGGTTGACAAATTTCTGTAAACACATTCTAGACAAGCTTATAGTTTTGCGGTTATGCAAAGCACTGTAAACTGTAGGCTGCTCTGATCGCTTCACATTCAGAGAGACATACAGATAGATTTGGTTAGCCCTGGAACGTGTAATGAAACATTTGAAAGAGAATCAATGCACTTACTAAAAGCACACTCAGCACAGGCAGCCACTTGCACATAGACACACAGACATAGATTTATACACACACATACTTTAAGGTCAACTATTTATAATAAATTCATTATAAATAATTATAGTGTTAATTATATATAACAGTATGTAAACAAATAATTTTAATAAGTTTTAATAATGGACCCTTTTCACATTTCCATAAGGCATCATGGTTAGGTAAACGTAGAGCGCAGTGAGAGTACAAATAATATTTTTTATAGTCCTATTAGCTGAAATAATAAAAGAAAAACTCAACAATGGTGTTATCAAGACTTTCAAAAAAAGAAAAAATTGCGTGAGACTGAGTTTTTTGTAATTTGACACAAAGATTATATAAAATATTCATAAATGCATATTAATGTATAAACGTTTTTTTAATCTAAATATTTAAAAGGATTCAAGGATTTAAGATTATGATGATTGTTAAACACATCATAACAGTCTTGTGAAAAGGGTCTATAGATCATATCAATTTTAGTTTTTAATAACAGTAGTTCTAAACTACACAACTTCCACATTATTACTTTAAATAACGAATATAAGCATATTTAATGTAAATGCATATGCACTTGTATAAAAATATTTATTGTAATCTATTATACTAAACTTGTTTTTAAAATGCTGAAATTATGGCATTTCTATTCTATTTTTTTTATTCAAAGCGTAACATCGTAACACCTAGAAAAAAAAATTAAATCCGTAAACGACAAAATAGCCTGCCACTGTGTACATAACTTTCTCACTGTATAAAAAAGGCCAATTTTATTGTATTTTTAATTAAAAAGAGATATCTACAATTAGTAAAAATCAATAAACAACTAAATAGTTTGCCATTGTGTACATAACTGTCCAAATGCATACAAATTGTAACATATTTTGTATTTTTAAATGAAAAAGTGACATCTAGAATTAGGAAAAATTAGTAACTTACAATTTTTTTATCTGCCATTGTCTAAATGACAGAATAAAATATCAAATATGCTACAATTTAATTACAAATTACTGCTCAGCACCATTTGTGTGCCTATTTAAGTTTATATGTCCTTTTTACAACTACAGTTGAAGTCAGAATTATTAGCCTCCCTGTTTATTTTTTCCCCAATTTCTGTTTAACGGAGAGACAATTTTTTTTTCAACATTTCTAAACATGATAGTTTTAATAACTAATTTCTAATAACTGATTTATTTTATCTTTGCCACCATGATAGTAAATACTATTTGGCTAGATATTTTTCAAGACACTTCTATACAGCTTGAAGTGACATTTAAAGGCTTAACTAGGTTAATTAGGTAAACTAGTCAGGTTCGGGTAATTAGGCAAGTTATTGTATAATGATGGTTTGTTTTGTAGACTATCAAAAAATGTTTGCTTAAAGGGGCTAATAATTTTGACCTTAAAAAAAAAACTACTTTTATTCTAGCCGAAATAAAACAAATAAGACTTTCTCCAGAAGAAAAAATATTATCAGACATGCTGTGAACACTTCCTTGCTCTGTCAAACATCATTTGGGAAATATCTAAAAAAGAAAAAGAAAAAAATCAAAGTGGGGCTAATAATTCTGACTTCAAATGTATGCAGGCTCTTGAGTGTTTTTTTTTCTTTCAGTATTTCTATTTTGTAATAGAGCTGGAATGAGCGCAAGAGTGTTTGCAATACAGAAGCTCCAAATGCAGAGACTGTCAGAGGACAGACATGCTGAAAATGAGAGTAATCCTGCAGGGCAAGTAGGAATTCATAATAGCTGTGAAATGTAAGGACATCCCTCCTCTAGACTACACAATACATGCAAAACAAGCAGCATCAAAGACTGGTTTGGCTCTAATGCCCACAGCAGCCTCTATAGCAGACAGAAGAACACACCGGGCACAGCGACAGTGGACACCGCCTCAGGCTGACACAGAGTATCCACTTTCACATGCTGGAACGCCTTGCAGGCTGCAGTCAGAAGATGCCTGAGAGGGAAATCAAGCGACACAGTTCCAGCATTATAATCAGTCTTCAGATGCAAAGCAGCATCAATAAAATACTGTACATGTGACTTTGCAGCTAAATAGATTCTGAACAGAACTAGACCATTTATAAATTCTGTTGACTTTGTATCTTCTAGTCAACTAGCGCCCCATTTACTTCTGGTTTTAAGATGCAATTTTCAACAATAGCATGACCTTTTTTTTAAAATAAAATGTCTTAAGCTTCATACTTAACAAGTAGTAAACTATGTTAATGTGTTTGTTCATTCCATAACATAATATCACAAAGATGGTCTTAAAAATAATGTAAAGCATGATAAAATTTAAGGGAAAGTCTTGACAAAAAAGTGGCCTAATGAGATGAAATTGAATGTTAATCACAAATATCAATAATTATAGTAAACTATAACTTTACTTGCCCTGTACTGTACTTGCAAAGTTACTTGTATTTAATGTTTTGAAGGAGTATCAAAATAAAGTGCTAGCAGAAAGTCTACTAGTACTCTAATAATTGCAAAATTACTGTAGTCAATCATTTTGCAAGTTAATTCACAGATTTTTAGTTTAGTTTAGTTTAGTTTAGTTTTGTTAATCTTCATTCAAAATCTGACATGTTGCTTCCACATTAGGAGTGGCGGTTCTCTGTTGATGTCAGTTTGATATTTTTTTAATCACACCCCTTTTCTACAAGGGGATGATGAGCAATAAAAAAACTTCACCCCCTACTTAATATCCAGTTTCAGTTGGAAGTACATCAACATACATAAATAAAAGTCTTAACAAATTCCAGGTCACATGGACTTTAAGAGCTCCATTTTAATGATCTAGGCACAAAATCTAAAGCGCATGGTGCAAAAGCATTAAGCGCGTGTCTGAATGCACTTTTAAAGGATATTTAATGGATAGAAAAATTCGCTCTGCACCTTGGCGCATGGTCTAACAGTGTTGTGCTTATTCTCTTAATGAGTTATCGGTGTGTTTTGAGCATAATGTGCATTAAACCAATCAGAGTCTCATCTCCCATTCCCTTCAAGAGTCAGTTGCGTCACGCCATGGTGCATTTGCTATTTACATGGCGAAATATGTAAAAGGAAAAACTGAATGCTTCATTAGCCAAAAAACAGTTAAACAGAGCGTCTGTAGCACAAGGATAAAGACTGAGCCTCCTCCATTCTGCCTTTTTATTTTACATGAATCTAGTTTACTCCTTTACTTTCATAAAGTAAGGAAACAGTGTTAAATGCACTCCACTGAGCCTAATCCATTAGCCTACATATTTAATTTAAGAGCAACATTTTGTTTCAACACTATTTGTGAATTCAGTTTTAATTTCCAGCAAGCTTATAAATGAACAATAATAACGAAGTGTGGTCAAGGTCATATCCAAACACACTTCCTATTCTTATGCCTCAAATAGTGACGCGTACGTCTCCAAAACCCAACAGGTGGACAAATCTAAACTTGTTTTTATTAAAACAAATATAAAAATGCATATAATAAATAATAATGCTAATCATAATAACATTATAACAAGAATGCAAATTGTCATGGATAAACTGAAAAATCCTCCCCTGGGGTGCAGAAGGCAGTGGTTTTAATATTTATGTAAAAAATAATAATTTTTGTAACAATTAAATCCTTAATGTATTTTATATGTAAAGATATTTGTGTATTGCTGTACATCCTGTGTGTATTAAACAATGTGTAATCGTTTAGACCTGCATAGGCGCATAATTAACACGCTCTATGCTGGACTTTAGACAAGCTTTTAGTTGGTCAATGGCACAGTCTTTTTCAGTTCTTCAAAATAGCAACACACTAACAATGTGCCTTAACACACCTGTTTTATAGACCAGCACACCCATGAGTCCACAAAGTGGCGCAAATTGATTTGCTATTTAAACAACATGGCGCAAAACGTGAAAATTGCTATTTAGCTGGTCTGAAAATAGCAACATATCGTGCCAAACACATCTTGCGCCTTATTGCACCGGGTGTATGATAGGGCCCTAAGAGTTAAAGAGATCGCTCACAAAAAATTAACATTGACTCTCACTCAGGTTATTCTAAACTTTTATGAATCTTTTTTGTTGAACACAAAGCAAGATATTCTAAAGAATGTTGGAAAAATAAACCCTGACATACATACTAGGAATAAACATTACTATGAAAGTCATTGGGTGTTTTTTCCTATTATTCCTCAATATATCTTTCTTTGTGCTCAACAGAAGAAAGAAAAACAAACATGTTAGGAACACATACCAACTTATTTTTGTCTCAAAATAACTACGATCATGGTAATCAAGTTGATGAGAGAGAGTTGAGAGACAAAAATCCCATTGAACATACCAAACACTGAAAGACACACAGAAAAAAAATATTTTACCTCTTCCACTCCTCCTCTCCATCCCAGAACTCATACACCACAAAGGAAAGGCCATCAGGCAGCCTGACAGCCGTCACACTGAAGAAAGAAGAAGAACAACTGTAAAAAACACTTTCATTCTCACACATTTCACATTGATTTAGCAGGCTGATGAAAAACACTAATTAATCTTGTAGAAACAGTGTCGACAAAGAAAACGGGTATAAATGTCTTCAATTAGAGGGCAATTACTCTCATTCTACAGAAACTGTAAACAGAGGCACAATCCTCCACTGTAGTGTTTGAGCCTCCACTTGATGGCAGTGCGTCCTCATATTCCTGCTGCGCTACAGCTGCAGCCCTTCAGGCAGTAAAACAGCAACGATTAGCATTAGCTCAATACATCAACAGACATCTAAACACAAGCTAGTTCTAACAACCCCAAAGACTCCTCAAACTCTTACTAGAAGCAGCAAAACTCGCAACACAGCTTTTTAGCACTTTCTGGATATGGAAATGATTCAAGCTGTACTCAAATTTGAGTCGATTGCTTGCTAGTAAACTTGGGATATCACACCTAAAGCACATGCTGATGTTTCATGTCAGCGTTGATTGTTTTTAGCAGAGCATTTCACTTGTGTAATTTGATAGATTTAAGTGAGACATGATTTTCAATGAGGAAAAAAACAACAACAGTTATTTGTGTGGTAAAAAAGTGGGTGTTACCTACATGAATTGAGACTCAATGTGAGCTGTTTGACTGACAACTATGTTTTTAAAATAATCCCTGTATATACAGATTCAGGAAAATGAAATGCCGTATTCTGTATGCCAGGCCAGTAGATGGCGATGTCACTTTTAGAAGAAACACTTTTTAGATAGAAACACTAAGCACCTGTGCACACATGATCCTGCTGTCCACCATTATTATTTTGTGACTACACTACACATAACATTAAGTTATGATTGAATTGCCTCTTACTACAGTTATGAATTAGTTTGATAAAAAGCAGGAAATGTTTATGGGCCAATGACATGTCCACATTAAAATGGTCTATTGAACTAAAAAACGCAAACCTTTTTCCCCCATTTTTCCCCCAACGATAAATAAAATAAAATAAAATATAAAATAAATCTGGTAAATTGTTTTGTAAGCACTCTCTAAAAAACTAAAATGTATTTTTGAAATAAAACACAAAACATGAAATATACACTCACTGGCCAAATGGTACAGCTGTCCAAATACTTGTTAACACAAATTTTTATCAGCTCACTCACACAGCAGCAACTCAATGCATTTAGGCATGTAGACATGGTCATGATGCTCAGCTGCAGTTCAAACTGAGCATCAGAATGGGGAAAAAAAGTGATTTACAGTAAGTGACTTTGAATGTGGCATGGTTGTTGGTGCCAGATAGGCTGGTCTAAGTATTTCAGAAACTGTTGATCTACTGGGATTTTCATGCACAATCATCTCTAGGGTTTACAGAGAATGGGCGAAAAAGACAAAATATCCAGCGAGCGGCAATTCTGTGGGCGCAAATACCCTGTTGATGCCAGAGGTCATAGAAGAATAGCCAGATTGGTTTGAGCTGATCGAAATCTAACAGAAACTCAAAACTCGTTACAATCGAGGTTTGCAGATAAGCATCTCTGAACGCACAACACATTGAACCTTGAGGCGAATGAGCTACATCAGCAGAAGACCACACTAGGTGCCGCTCCTGTCAGCCAAGAACAGGAAACTGAGGCTACAATTGGCACAGGCTCACCAAAATTAGACACTAGAAGATTGGAAAAACATTGCCTGGTCTGATGAGTCTCGATTTCTGCTGCGACATTCAGATGGTAGGGGCATCAACAACATAAATGTATGGATCCATCCTGCCTTGCATCAACAGTTCAGGCTGCTGGTGGTGGTGTAATGGTGTGGGGGATATTTTCTTGGCACACTTTAGGCCCATTAGTACTAATTGAGCATCATGTCAACGTCACAGCCTGGGTATTCTTGCATGTCCATCCCTTTATGACCACAGTGTACCCATCTTCTAAAGGCTACCTCCAACAGCATAACACCTCATGTCATGAAGCACAAATCATCTCAGACTGGTCTCTTGAACATGACAATGAGTTCACTGTACTCAAATGGCCACACAGTCACCAGAACTCAATCCAATAAAGCACCTTTGGGATGTGGTGGAATGGGAGATTCGCATCATGGATGTGCAGCTGACAAATCTGCAGCAACTGTGTGATGCTATCATGTCAATATGGACCAAAATCTCTGAAGAATATCTCCAATACATTGTTGAATCTAAACCACGAAGAATTAACCGTGTAACCACTTTGTACTAGTATGGTGTAACTTATAAAGTGGCCGGTGAGTGTGTTCAACTATCTAAAGTCTTCAATGCAACATTTGTCATTTTAGTTTAGTTGAAATTGAAGTGCAAAATGAACTAAAAAATAAATACAAAACAAAAAAGTAATTAAAACTTTAAAATCTTAAAAGTGATAAAAAGTAAACAAACTAAATCTTAAAACAAACCAACTAAACAATTTAAATATAGAATAATAAAAAAAAACTACTCAAAATTAAACAATAATCATATGTATATCGTTGTTACTAAATTAAGTCCAACAGGAAAAGTTGTTTGAGAGTAAGAGCATTTCTAATTTACGTTAAAGCTGAGGTTAATTTAGGTTAAAGATGATAAAGCCAAACAATTGCTTTATTCACTAATAAATCTTTTACAGAATGTGCATTGAGCAAGAAAACAGGTTCAATTTAGATTTTACATTAACTGTACCTGATTATTAATGTTCCCACATATCAAACAAACAATGAGTTATGCATTTTTCTGATTCAAATGAGCAGTAGAAAGAGCATCTCAATCACTGTTCAGAATCTGAACAGAATATCTGACAAACAGACGGTGATAATGGAGTAATAGAGGAGGAAGGCTGACAGAAATAAGGCAGATAAAAGAGTGGCTAGAGATGACAGTTTTGGGGTCTTTGCAGAGGCTTGCAGATGTTCTCACTGATCAATTATTCACTAGTCTGATGTGAATCATGATGGCAGTACAAAATGCTGCCATACAAAGGCCTCTCCTTGAAAACACTACAAAGGACCTATTTTACTCACTGCTTTTACATTAATATTTCATGCCGTGGGGAAGAAAAATGCTCTCAGTCGTGGCCTGACCAAAATTGTGAAAGTGAAGCAACTGTTCAAAAGTTTGGGCTCTGTTAGGTTAGTTTTAAAGGGGTTGTCCACTTCGATATCATATTTTAAACGTGTAATGAAGCTGTGTGAACATAAACAACATCTCTGAATATAACACTCAAAGTTCAATGCAAAGGAAGACATTGGCTTGTACAGAGCACTGGGAATGAATTATGGGGACTGAAAAAAATTACATCCGGGCTAGTGAGATCACAAGAGCTTCAGGTTATGTGCATTCACCACGTGCATACACTCCGCGCAGCAATGAGGCGTGGCCAGAGGCACTGTATAGTTATAGCAGAGAAAGCTAAAATGCCGCCCAAACGCTAACCTTTTCAAAGAGCTTCTTCAGTTTCTGTATTTGGGCTTCCAAAGGACAAGACAGAAAGAGAGAAGTGCTCACAGTTATTTTTTAATTATGTTTCAGAGAATGAAAAAAAAAAAAAAAAAAAAATATATATATATATATATATATATATATATATATATATATATATATATATATATATATATATATATATATATATATATATATATATATATATATATATATATATATATATATATATATATATATATATATATATATATATATATATATATATATATATAGCATTAGACAAAGGACAACTTCCAAAATATTTCCCTGTTTCAGTGCTGGATTCAGCTAAACACTCCTCAAAGCCTCAAAGAAGGAGCAGCTTCAACAAGCAGAAGCTGTGGATTGTGGGCCACAACCTGTATTTTCTATGTTAAATATGATCTATTACATGCATAGTGTCTACGATATGTTGTAGCAAGAAGGCAAACAAGGATGTACTTTAAACAACAGAAAATGCTACAAATTCATAATTATCCATCAAAGCCTGTTAAACACCCACAATCTTCAGCAGCGCTGCAGTGTCTCTCTATGCAGCCGCTTTCCCTGCATTCTACATCACAAATAAGGAAGTCACAAAAGATATATGAATGTTTCATATTACTTACTCATGCTTATTCTGAATATACAGTCTGAAGTCTGAATTATTAGCCCCCCTGAATTATTAGACCCCGTTTGTTTCCCCCCCCCCAATTTCTGTGTAACAGAGAGAAGATTTTGTTCAATACATTTCTAAACATAATATTTTTAATAACTCATTTCTAATAACTGATTTATTTTATCTTTGCCATGATGACAGTAAATATTATTTGACTAAATATTTACATTTAAATTTTTGAAAAACAAATGTCTCTTATGAGGGCGAGGCAGTGGCGCAGTAGATAGTGCTGTCGCCTCACACCAAGAAGGTCGCTGGGTTGCTGGTTCGAACCTCGGTTCAGTTGGCATTTCTGTGTGGAGTTTGCATGTTCTCCCTGCATTTGCGTGGGTTTCCTCCGGGTGCTCCGGATTCCCCCACAGTCCAAAGACATGCGGTACAGGGTAAATTGGGTAGGCTATATTGTCCATAGTGTGTGTGAATGAGTGTGTGGATGTTTCCCAGAGACGGGTTGCGGCTGGAAAGGCATCTGCTGCGTAAAAACTTGCTGGATAAGTTGGCGGTTCATTCCGCTGTGGCGACCCCGGATTAATAAAGGAACTAAGCCGACAAGAAAATGAATGAAATGAATGAATGAATGTCTCTTATGGTCACCATGGTCACATTTGTTTGATAAATACAGTAAATATAATAATTTTGCAAGATTTACTTTTATAAATCCTGTGATATTATTTTGAAATGCATATGAACACTTTTAACAACTTTTTCTTATTATTTTTCTTTTTTTTATTCTTCTTGAGAAATTCCTATTTCTTTTCGCTTGACTGAACAAAAATACATATATAAAACATATTTGTATGCCAATTGTAACATGCCAATGCTTACAAAACGTAGGTAACACTTTAAAACAATGTTGATGTATTTACTACCATGAACAAGCTATTAGTAATACATTGATTGCACTTTTTATTCATCGTTGTAAATGTTAGTTAATGTTATTGAAAATTAAATATTGTTAGTTCTTGTTGGGCAACACTGTGTCGCAGTGGTTAGCACTGTTGCCTCACAGCAAGAAGGTCACAGGTTTGAGCCTCGGCTGGGTCAGTTGGCATTTCTTTGTGGAGTTTGCATGCTCTCCCTGTGTTGGCATGGGTTTCCTCCATGTGCTTCAGTCTTCCCCACAAGTGTGCATCAGAGTGTATGGGTGTTTGCCAATGATGGGTGGCAGGTAAAAGGGCATTCGCTGCATAATAAAATATATGTTGGATAAGTTAGTGGTTCATTCCACTGTGTCGACCCCTGATTAATAAAGGGACTAAACCGAAAAGAAAATGAATGAACGATTAGTTCATGTTAACTCAGTGCATTAACTAATATTAACAAGCACAACTTTGGATTTTAATAATGCATTAGTAAATGTTGAACAATGATTAATAAATGCTTAACAATTTTTCATATTAAGTTAATGTTAGTAAATACATTAACATTGACTAATGAACCATAATTTGTTATCAAAACTTGTCTAGTTAACCTAAATAACTTAAAGCCTACTCACACTATGCCATCCGTACCGTGCCCAGGCCCGTTTCCCGGATCGTTTGAGAAGTGTGAGTGCGCTTAATCGGGCTCAAGCACGGTTCACTTGGCCGGCCCTGGCCCGGTTGGAAGAGGTGTGCCTGAGCCCGGTTCACTTGGGCTTTGGCGCGGTACACTTGTGTGTGAGTGCAAAACGCGCCAAAGCCCGAAACTGAAAGCGAGACGTGACTTTTAAGGCACTGTTTCATATGGGTTTATTAATAATTCTTACTGTTCAGTGAACGCAAACTGCCGTAGTTTATTAAAGACGCAAACCCCTCACTGCATCACAGCTGTGCGGCTTCAGCAGAACTCCTCATTCCTGCAGCACGAGAGCTTTATGATTGTTTATGAGCGCCAAAAGTGGCGGATCTGTTCGGCGAAATATCTGACTGCGTGTCCCCGCATCCCTAAGGACAGTTTGGCGAAATTTTTGACGGCATATCAAACGACTGAAACGTTATAACTAGAGAAATCTCCACTGTGCTGCTGAGTGAGAGAGCGCTTCTCACTGAACAGCGCAGCAGCGATGACGTAAGCATGCCGAAGCCCGTTTGTGGTGTGAGCGCGGGCCGTCGGGGGAGACAGGAGGGGGGACAAGCGTGCTTTGGCCCGGTTAGAGGCAACTGTATCTAGTGTGAGTATGGCCTTAGTGAAGCCTTTAGATGTCACTTTAAGCTGAATGCTAGTATCATGCATGTAATCATAATGGCAAGGACAAAAGAAGTTAGTAATTAGACATTAGTTTAGCAAAGACATACAGTTGAAGTCAAAATATTAGCCTGTTAATTTAGATATTTTTTAAATGCAATCCATTATTTTCACAATCTAAATACTTACAGTATATGAATGAATGAATGATTGAATGAATGAATTAAAGACTGACCTGGGGTATGAGATCTTCATTCATTTTCTTGACGGGTTAGCCCCTTAATTAATCCGGGGTCGCCACAGTGGAATGAACGACCAACTCATCCAACACATTTTTACGCAGCGGATGCCCTTCCAGCCACAACCCATCACTGGGAAACATTCACACACTCATTCACACACACTCATACACTACGGACAATTTAGCCTACTCAGTTCACCTGGACCGCATGTCTTTGGACTGTGGGGGAAACCGGAGCACCCTGAGGAAACCCGCGCGAACGCAGGGAGAACATGCAAACTCCACACAGAAACGCCAACTGAGCCGAGGCTCAAACTAGTGACCCAGCGCCTTTCTTGCTGTGAGGCGACAGCACTACCTACTGCGCCATTACGTCACCTGGTATGAGATCTTCATGTTTACAATTGCGCTCCCTTCGCAGTGCGCCTTGAAATCATTGATGTCATTTTTAACACAGCCTCATGATGAAAGCTATAGGTGACCTATTATTATACCTAAAAGCAGAATTTATGTTGCATCTTCAAAGCTTGGGAAAAAAAAAAAAAAAAAACATAGCATAGCCTACGTTAATGCTTTTAATTTTTAGTGGGTTATTTTTTAAGTATCTGTACTGTATATGTCATGGGCCTGCTGGTTAGAACATTTCTGCAGTGGTTTGCATGTGTCAAATTGTAAAAGTAGACTTTCAAAAAAAAAAAAAAAAAATATCGTACTAAATGATAATATTACTGGTAATAATAATAATCATCATCATTAATATTATTATTAAAGTATGTTTTTTTCATTTCCTAATAAATAATAAATATTAAATTTCATTTCTTAATAAATAGCCTCATTATTTATTTATTTATATGATTTATATATGATATTAGAATATGTGCTAGCTTTTCTAAGTGATTTAATGTTTTAGAAGAGTATGTAACGTCGTTGTTTGGGAAACGCACCCCAGTTTAGTATTTAAAATGTACTGACCAAATTAGTATTAGCATTATAGTTTTGAAAACAGATTAATAATCTCAATTTCTTCCATTTTTCCTAAATGTACTAGGTGCAATTATGGCAGTAAAACAGTAGCTTAACCAGTTTTATGTGCAAACTATTCTATGATCTTTTAGGGCTTTGCAAACACAATGTATTAATAGTGTAGAAAAAACAGCAATTGTTCAGCCAGTTTCATCATTAATTCATGAACTAGAATAACAACATTCCCCTTTGCTTGTCTGCCATCTTTATCCACAGGAGGCAAAACGACACCGTATCATTTTCCACCACATCAGAGATGCATACGCATTGTTGAAGCACAAGCATTTAGAAGAGAAACACAGGTTCATTCCGTAAGAAATGCATTACTCTATCATTACTGCTACCCTGCAACAGACACATTCAAACTAATAAAGAACTACCTGAAAACACTTTAATTCGACAGCACAGAAGCACAAACTTTGTATTGATTTATAAATGCAATAAGAAGCAATGAGAGACTAGTATAAAGTAGGGAATTAAAAAACACTGCACTTAAAAAAAATAAAAATAGCCTCATTTTACAACTTAGTCTGATTATTTTTCTTATACTTTCACCTGATGTCCAGGTCTGGCCAGAGCATGTTTAACTTAGCTTAGCATTGATAACTGAATCAGATTAGACCATTAGCATCACACTCAAAAATAACAAAATAGTTTTGATAATTTTTTTTGATTTAAAGTTTGACTAAAGTCAAACTTTAAAGTTTTTTTTGATTTAAAGTTGAAAATTATTGAAACTTATTTGTCCTTTTTGAGAGAGATGCTAATCAGGGTTTGTGTAAGGTCGACCAATTTGGCATCATTCATCATACAATTTTGCATCATAGGCGGTGGTGAACTAATTATTTATAAACAATTAACTAATTCATAACAAATTAATTATTTGTAGCCTAATGTTTCAACTACCTGACCCGCATCGTCTTTGTTTTACCCATAATAAAATCATAAATAAATGAAGATATGTTACACACAGATAACCACATGTCAATCACTTTTTCCGCTGGACTCTGGCATGAATAGGCAGAGTGATCTGTCTTGTTATAATGACGTCGACAAACCTGGTTGGTAAAAAAGGTGCGCAACCAACAGTATCTGAGGTTTTCATTAAAATTACTTAAAAATACTAAGTACAAGCTCGAAAGTGAAAGATTGAAGTAGTGTACTGACGCTTTGACACATTATCTGATAGATTCAAAAGACAGAAGAGTCATTAGATAGAGACAAGATTAATTAAATATCACGTTTAACAATTATAGTGAGACACAATCCAGCAGTACATCCTTGATAAACTGTCCAATGTGCGATGGACGATGGCCAACCCTAATGCTAATGGTCTAATCCAATTCAATGATCTGTGCTAAGCTAAGCTAAAGTCTGATCTCCAGACACAGAAATCAGCTAAATGGATTAAATATATGGTAAAACATTCCTGTTTAACTCTGGAGGAGTGAAATTGTAAAATTAGTCTTTTCAAAAAAGAATCAAATAGAAAACAGTGGAGTGTTCCTTTAAAAAACACTTAGTTGAGGGTCAAAGTAAGAGAATGATGAGAAGTGAACTCACTGGAAACAGTCTCTCTGAGCAGACACATTCTTCAGGTATTGTTTCAGGGCCTCACAGAAATCACCCAACTGCTTCTGGGAAACTTTCATCTCCTGGCGGATCAGGTACAGGGACTGAAGACAGAGAAAAAGAGAGAGGGAAATGGGCAGATTAGTTTGCAGCAGTCTGAATTCCTAATGAAAAACCTGAAAGTCTGTGGCCGATGGGGATATCTTTTGATTAAAATGCAGGCAAAGTTTACAAATACTTTGAACTTTATAAAAGAGATTGTTCTTTCTTCAGTCGAGCATTAAAAAAATGATTTTTTTTTGTTTTGCTGAAACTGTGGTCCTTGGTGTCTCATATAATGTAAGACAGTAGCTAATAGCACATATACAGAAACATTTTGTATATAAAGGCAAAACAAAATGAAAACCCGCAGCTCCTAGTAATAAGCTGGGGTCTTGGGAAGTGAAGGGATCCTTCAGTGCAATGAAACTAAACATTATTTACAATATAGTCCACAGCCTTGTCAAATGGTCATGAGTTTTTTCATGAATATCTGGTCTGGAGTGCACACAACCTGTTGAATAGTGCCGTAATCAAGGATACAAACTATAATGTATTTACAACTGTTTTATGTTTAAGAATCAAGGATAAGCACAAGCAAATTAAATAATTTATAATACATAAATAATTACATATTATTTCTGATAATATTTAGTTACGTTTCCTTGTGAGATAAGGCTGCATGAAGTACTACGACAATAATCACGTCAGATGCTGATTATGTGTTTTTTTTTAGTTTCAAAAGTTAGCAGATTGACTTTAAATACCATTTAATGCTAAATTTACTGTCATACAGAATGTAGCAGCAGTAAGTTTATCTCAGATAATATCTCAGATAGTCACTGAGTGTGTACTTTTAATAATGTTAATAAAGTTTAATATTCATTAACTAGATTATAAACTTACACTAGTGCACTATTCTGCACTTCTGAATGAACTTCTGTGGTATTTATATGTTTCTGTAGTGTTGTGTCTGGCGAGGACAGACAAATTGCTTGTTGCTGGAACCTTGTTGTTGGAATACACTGCAAACCTGCTTTAAAAGCTTTGGCCCTCATTTACTCTGAGTCACGATATTTAATGCAGATAAAGGCTTATGTAAGATATGAATATATAGTTGCCCCTTTAGGAGAAGGAAAAATATATATGGTACATACTTAAGAGAAAAATCAATACAGAAACTCTTTTGGATAATTGCCTGAGCAACTAATTAATTCCCAGTGTAATGTAAATGAAGTAGAATTGTGGGAGTGCAGTTGGCTACGAAATGAAGTACGGGGCAAATCACATGGCCTGCTTTGTGACAAACACACACACACACACGCACACACGCACACACATACACACAAAACAGATATGCTGCAAAAAAATATATAACATTTTCAGAAGGATCAATTTCCAACTTAACGGAAATGAAAGTGAACTGCCTCTGATTTGGATATTTCACATATAATTGCACCTTTCTGGTGTAACATGTCACTCAGGCCTCCCACTCTTTTCTAAATTGGTTCTGTCATCTTGAACCAGTTTTATTAAGTCTGAGAGATTTGATTAAATAACCAAAATTACCCCACGACACACTAAGAAATGATAGGTATAAATGTAATAATTGCTTGGCTGAATATTTCCACATTGAGACCCAGAGGAGCCTGGAGTGTTGATTAACATCTGCATTTATTTTATGAAAACCTAAAGGTCTAAAATGGCCATATGTTTTTTTGTTTGTTTGTTGCTTTTTTTTACCGAATTTTAACTGAAATATTCTCAAAATGTACATAATATAATGTCGTAAAATGTTTTTTTTGTTTGTTTTAAACTAAAGGAATACTTTTATTCAGTAAAAACATGACAGGAAGGGTATTTATAATGCTGTTAAAATGATTTAATATAAATATATAAATAAATATATATAAATATATATAAAAAAATGCTGCTCTTTAAAGTCTCTGTTCCTAAAATCTAAAAAAATAATAGTGATCATAACAATAAATCAGGGTTTATACACATTTTTACTACAAAAATTCCAGGACTTTCAAGTCAATTCTCGTGACCTATTGTTTCATGTAATGTCTACTTATACGTGGTAAATCATAAGAAACGTTTAAATTTATTACGACATATTATAAAAAGGCAATAGTTTCAATTTATTTTTACATCTATGCAAAATAGATGATGCTTACACAGTTCTAATATTGTGAGAGCATGTTTTGACCAAGAAAAGAAAAGAATTAAAAACAGCTAACCTCCATTCCAATATATAGACATTTATCAAACAAATTTTTAATAATCCTAATAGTTTGTTAAACTAGTAATAGTAGGTAAAACTATTTCTATTATAAAGCGGCAGACAGGAAACGCAAACACATGTAACAAGTTTCACATTTCATTGCATTGCAAACTTCAAGCTTGGTGAATTCTTACCTGTGAAATCACATTACATACCAATAGAAGATAATTTAAAATATGAAATTTAAAATTTGAAGCAATCCCTCACTTTTATTAATGTCTAATCATATTGTTTAACCCCGCCCCTTCTTGCAGTGCAGAAATTTGCAAGTACAAGCTCTCGTGTGACCGCAGCTTAAGTTGCTTTGGACAAAAATGTCTGCTAAATGTAAATGTAATTTCCATGACTTTTTTTTTTTTTTTTTAGAAGTTTGTAGGTTTTTCTAAAAAAAAAGGTTTATCCAAAACTTTTCCAGGTTTTCCATGAACCCTGATAAATCTTTCTTGAACACAAAATCAGTATTTTAGAATAACTTTTAAAGTCACTGAAGCCTGGAGCAATGATGGTGACAATTCAGTTTAACCATCATAAAGTTTAAAAAAACTCAGAAACTGTTACATTTTAACAGCATTTCACAATATTACAGTTTTCTGTCTTCCCCCCCCCCCCCACAAAATAATGTTATGCTAACTTGAACTTTGAATTTTGCTAAATTATGTAGGCTTTTGATCAGAGAAAAGTCTGACGGATTCAGTGTGGGATTGCTTACACAGATGAACATAGAATTTGAGTATTTTTGGTTCTTCTGTGAAATTTTAATTATCTTCAAATATTTCCCAAGTGCTGTTTAACTGAGAGTATTAGAGAATATTTCTCAAACATAATAGTATTAAAGCGCCCCTATTATGCATTATAAAAGGTCATATTTTGGTTTTAGGGGTCTCCAACAACAAGCTGATAAGCATGCAAGGTCAACAAACATTATGATTGTCTTATAATATGTATTTATTTGACCTAATTATCCCAACGACTCCCATATGATTAGATCAGCAATTCATTTGTTCGCAAACCCCTCCTTTGTATGATGCTAATCTGTGCTGATTGGTCTGATGACCCAGTCTGCTGGGATTGGTCGACTGCATTTAGCGCGAGAGAGAGAGAAACACCCACCACAATTATTTACATTGTTGAAGTAGTCAGAGTGCAGAGTGTATGTGTGAGCACAGTGCAGGAGTGCATTAATGCAATGCAATACACACCAGCATATTGCTCTATTCCTAACCATAAGTAATAACAACGACACACATTTAGTATTAATCCACACAGTGACAAAAGCTGAACTACAAATGGCATAGGATCGCGAGCTCAGAAACACATTTAAATCAGTAATAAAAGCGGCATGTGTTGCGTTTTCAACGTGGTTGTAGACACAATATGAGAATATAAAGAGCTAACCAGATATAGTACAAGCTACAATAACAAGTAACAAAACACAACTAAATACATATTTTGCAAGCTACAGAAAACAAGGAGGCAACCATTTTATTCATACTTACACTTGTGAACTGGAAGAAGAAACTGATCCATGAACTGTGTAATGATAAAGCTCCTGTGAAGCTCTGACAAAGTCCCATATCAACAGACTTTTCTGATCCTTCCTTTAACAAATGTCCAACAAATAATCCATGTAGGGTAGATTATTTCAATAATCACCAGAACGTTTACTGATCTTCAATGATGATCAGTCCCACACACAATCTCACTCCTCTATTGTTTGATGGGAAAGGCGCGTTCACGTTTTACTGGATTCGGTACTTCATATTTGGTATTGTTTCAATGTCTACATCAATACGAACAGGCAAAAGATCTGGACGAATGACAAATCATTTAAAAGACACTCAATCTTAAAAGCATCTCGAATCACACATGCACTTTCAAATCTAACCCTCAGCTGGATGTTTCATTCACTTAGTGCTGAGTTACACACTGTATGAAAGGTAACTTTCAAAAAACCATAATAGAGGCTTTTTAATAAAAACATTTTTTTGTCTTTGCCATGATGCTATTTTGCAAGATACAAGTATTCATCTTAAAATGTCATCAAAAGGCTAATGAATGTCATTGGACAACAGTGGTTTGTTCTGTAGAAAAGAAAAAGAAAATCTTCATAATACTTATGATACTTATACTTATAAAATTTATTATTATTACTTCATTCATTCATTCATTTTCTTTTCGGCTTAGTCCCTTTATTAATCAGGGGTCGCCACAGTGGAATGAACCGTCAACTTATCCAGCACAAATTTTACGCAGCGGATGTCCTTCCAGCCACAACAAAACACCCATACACTCTTGTTTACACACTCATTCCCAAACATAGAGTACACTACAGCCAATTTAGTTTATTCAATTCACCTGTACCACATTTCTTTGGACTTGTGGGGAAAACTGAAGCACCCCAAGGAAACCCATGCAAACATGGGGAGAACATGCAAGCTCCACACAGAAACACCAACTGAACTAACAGGGGCTCAAACCAGCGACTTTCTTGCTGTGAAGTGATCGTGCACCACCCACTGCAGCACTGGGAAATTATTATTATTAATATTTCAGCAAAACAAAACAAAAATTAAAATAAAAAACATCCTTGCTCCTTTAAACATCACTAGTACTTGAAAAATAATAAAGACATTACAGGAAGGCTAATGATGTTGTAATATGCTCCATTACAACCACACAAGTGCACTTCAACAAACGTCATAGCAGCATAGGACATAAAATAGTGAGAAAGAGTATGCTTTTTATAGATTACAGAGTATATTTGGTATGTGCTGCATG